GTCGTCGTCATTCTCCCCCCCTGCTTCTCCGTTTCGCCCGTCGCTCCCCCTCCCCTCCCGTCTCCTTCTCTGTGGGGACGGGCCAGGAAACACCCACGAGGGCTTTCAAACGCCCCCAAACAAGGGGAGCCCGGGAGGGCTTCCAGGCCCTTCCCCCCTCGCTCGCCGCCGAAAAAAAAAAGTCGCCGCGGCGCCGCGGGGCTCCCCGTGGTGCACCGCCACGGCCCACCCTCGCCCTAAGGGGCGATGGGAGCGGCCGGGGGCGGCCGCGGCGTGGCCTCCCGGGAGAGAGAGGGCGGCCGAGAAACGCCGCAGCGAGCCAGCAGGGCTGATACTAGGGGGCCACATGCGAACCCTACCCCTACCCCCCCCGATTTCTGAGGGGGAGGGTAGGGTTCACTTCGCTCGGGAGCTCCCGAATGAAGTGAACCCCACCCTCCCCCTCAGAAATCGTGGGGGGTAGGGGTAGGGTTCGCATGTGGCCCCCTAGATACGGTGAGGGCACCGAGTAGGGAAGCACCGAAGCACAGAGAGCAGAACATCCACCCCATACGAAACACCCATCCGCCCCCAGAAGAAGCATCCCCGGCGAGCGAAGCCGTCTAGTATCAGGTCGGGCCTGTCCCCCTACGGGGGGGAATTGGGACGAAAAATGAGAAACACCACCACCACCACCACCACCACCACCACCACCAACAACAACAACAACAACAACAACAACAACAACAACAATTACTAGCACGTGGGGACACACCGTTCTCACCAGTGCCAGGGTTTTCATAGGAGGCGGGCAATACCCCCACTTTGTGGGGGGGCCGGTTCAAGCTCTACCAAATTTCCAAACGACTCTTCGCCACCACCCACACCCAGCTTCCCGCCCTATGACGTTCGGACACTTCACTTCGTGGCATGCGGACGACCGTGGCTACTATTCAGGGCCCCGCGGCCGACGACGACGGCGTGCGCGCGCGAAGAAAAAACGAATGTGTCCCGCATGGTATTATTTGACAGGGATGATGGCCCTGGCAGGTGCGCAACCGTTGTTGCAGAAGTTCGAAAAAGTTGCTCGCAAAAGCCCGTTTGACAGAAATGATTAAAAAGTGTTGGGTTTCCTACGAATCCGCAAGAGCGCGCGGGATGAATTTTGACAATTTTTTTTTGAAAAACCATTGGTTTTTTGATGTTTTTATGTTAAAATCGCTACGAAAACTAAGGTTTTGGAAGGATTTCGTCTTGCGCGCGCGAATGTCCACTTTACCTTATTTTTTGCAAGGGATTCTTGAAGTTTGGTTATGTTAGAACAAGAAATGTCCACTTTAGCTTATTTTTTGCAAGGGAAAACCGATCGTAACAACACAACCGGATCCGGACTCCCCCGTTTTGCCTGAGACTTCCTCACGAAAATGATGAAAATGAGGCTGCGGCCTAGGCGCGGCGGGGGGGTCGTGCACCAGGGGCCCCAACAATAATTATTCTTTAGAAGTAATAATGTTCAACAACAACAACAACAACAACAACAACAACAACAACAACAACCACAACCACAACAACAACAACAACAACAATAACAACACAACAACAACACAACAACAACAACAACAACAACAATTACTAGCACGTGGGGACACTCCGTTCTCACCAGTGCCAGGGTTTTCATACGACGCCCGCCAATACCCCCACTTTGTGGGGGGGCCGGTTCAAGCTCTACCACATTTCCAAACGACTCTTCGCCACCACCCACACCCAGCTTCCCGCCCTATGACGTTCGGACACTTCACTTCGTGGCCTGCGGACGACCGTGGCTACTACACTGGCGCATGGGTACAGTGACTTGTTGTGGTAACATTTTCTGGACGCTAGCTTAGTATACGACTTTTCCCCCTGTTCCAACACTGGACACCTGTACTGGTTTTTGGTGGTAACGTGAAAAACCATTGGTTTTTTAGGATTCGGACAGCGCGCGCGGGTAGAAATTTTGAAAATTCGTACAGATGTTTTTCGAGGACCTACGGTGCGATTCGTATGATTTTATGTTGCGCGGTGCTAAAATTCCTAAGAAACCCAATGGTTTTTGAAGATTTCGGCGTGCGCGCGCGAAGAAAAAACGAATGTGTCCCGCATGGTATTATTTGACAGGGATGATGGCCCTGGCAGGTGCGCAACCGTTGTTGGAGAAGTTCGAAGCACGTGAAAAAGTTGCTCGCAAAAGCCCGTTTGACAGAAATGTTTAAAAAGTGTTGGGTTTCCTACAAATCCGCAAGAGCGCGCGGGATGAAATTTTGACACTTTTTTTTGAAAAACCATTGGTTTTTTGATGTTTTTATGTTAAAATCGCTACGAACACTAAGGTTTTGGAAGGATTTCGTCTTGCGCGCGCGAATGTCCACTTTACCTTATTTTTTGCAAGGGATTCTTGAAGTTTGGTTATGTTAGAACAAGAAATGTCCACTTTGCCTTATTTCTTGCAAGGGAAAACCGCCCGTAACAAAACAACCGGATCCGGACCAACCCGTTTTGCCAGAGACTTCCTCACGAAAATGATGAAAACATGGCTGCGGCCTAGGCGCGGCGAGGGGGCCGTGCACCAGGGGTCCCAACAATAATTATTCTTTAGAAGTATTAATGTTCAACAACAATAACAACAACAACCACAACCACAACCACAACCACAACAACAACAACAACAACATACAATCACATACAGAACAAATGCCCAAATATACTCAAGAGAGCAGGCCCCCGACTATTTCTAAATGTTTTTGAATACTCCCCCTGTAGAGGGACAGGCCCGACTTAAGTCTAGTAAACGCTCCCAAGGAAGGCATCGAACAAGACAGGGCTGTTCAGTAAACGCCCATGGCTGTACAGTGAACGAACGCCAACTGTCGGGGTCGGGGTGGATCTTCCTCCCTTGAGATACGGAATCCAGGGTCTGGAAGCTGGCGGAACTCAAATCGTGGACTGGCCATGGATATCACCGCCGCCCTCATCAAAATAAGAAGCCCTCCAGGGTCTGAAGCCTCCTGGGCACATTCCTTAACCAGCGCCCCCACCGCAATCTCTCCCGCGCGAAATGGAACGACGTGGCGCGACTCCCGTGGTACACCTCACGGCCTACCTTGCAGGGGCGGCCACGGCGCCTCCTTAGAGGGCAGGTGAGAAACGCCGCCGCGAGAAACAACAATACAAAAAAAACCCAGTAACGCGTTCGGCTACGTCGACGTGGCGCGACGGGCTCCCCGTGGCACGCCTCACGGCGTAACCTTCGCACTGGGCCCAGGATCGGAGCGGACGACGCCCAGGCCAAGCCAGGAGGGCGTAGACACCGATCCTGCGCCGAGAGTGGCCCTGTCCAGCGTCGGTGCGCATGTGCTGATGGCCCTCGTTGCCCGATCTCCTGGCCTCTGCCCTCCTCCGACGCAGCAGTAGCATCGGCGCGGCGCGCGAGGCGCGCCCCGGCACGCCTCGCTCGCGGGCCAGTCGCGGCGGTGCCGCGGCGTGGCCACCCGAAACGACGGCGAAAGCATGCCGCCGCGCACCGACGCAGCCAAAAGAAAAACAGCTGCTCCTCGCAAGTGGAGCCCTGACGCTTAGCATCTTGAGCCCACCCAGAGAGCCTTTACATGAGCGAGGAAGAACACCTCGCAGAGGCCATCGGGTAGACGCTGGCCGAGGGAAGAAAAAGATCCTATCTATGCGCCCTCCGTCCACTCCTCCCTCCTGGCCTCCGCCCCCCCCACCTTCCACCTCCCCCCACGCCTTCGGGGCATGCTGGAGGCGTGCCCCCGGCCCTTCGCGCCGTGTCGGAGCCTCCACGGGGCCTCGCGGCAGGGTGCCAGGGAGGCCAGCGAGGCCCCCGTGGAAATCGTGGGGGCGCCCTGGGGCCAAGGGCACCTGTGGCAGCACTCGACACACAGCCGCCCGCCTGCGTTGAGGACCCGCCGGCGCAGAGGCGGCAGGCGCAGACGCCACGGCTCGCGGCCGGCGCTTCGCACCCGGGTGGGGGAGGCCGGAGCAGCTGCCGCGCGGCCTCCGCAGCGGGGGGGGGACCGAGGGCAGGCTCGGCGAGCCGGGAGGGCGCACGAGAGGCGCTGGCCCAGGCGCCCCCTTCCCTCCCCCTGGGCCACCGCTCGGGCGTGCCATTCCCCGCGCACGTTCTGCGGCGTCGCACGCGCCGTCTCGGCTCGAGGATCCAGAATGCTCCTCGGCGGTCCACGGCGAGCAAGAATGCACACGTCCGAGCGATGCGAAGCCCCCCCCCCCGCCGGCCCCCGCCTCCCACCCCACAACCGCCCCGCTGCCCAGTGACGCTGCACCCGACCACCGCCCCGCACCCGCCCCCTGCGGCCCCTCGCGAGCTCACCGAGTCTGAACACAAGCTCGCCACGGAAGCGCCCCGCCGCGCTCCCTGCGGCGGCGGGGGCGTCCCGGAGAGGGGGGCGTCCGAGAGGGGGGGGCGCAAGCCATGGCCAGCGGCACGTGCGCGGCCCAAGGAAGCAGGGGGGGGGCGGAGACGCACTGAAACGACACGAGGCGCCCTGGAACCGGTGGAGATCTCGTGACCCCCGCCGTGAGATCCCCCCCCCCACCCACACCTCTTGGCCGCCCCCGAGCTCGAGGGAGCCTCCGCCCTGCCCCACCGCCGCCGGCGTCTGCGGCGCCGCCCTCCCCGCCCGGGTGAGTCAGAAGTCGGGTGCGTCAGAAGCCCCGGGAGGAGGAGGAGGAGGAGGAGGAGGAGGAGGAGAAGGAGGAGGAGGAGGAGGACGAGGAGGAGGAGGAGGAGGACGGAGGAGGAGGAGGAGGAGGAGGGCGGAGGAGGAGGAGGAGGAGGAGGAGGGCGGAGGAGGAGGAGGAGGCGGAGGAGGAGGGCGGAGGAGGAGGAGGAGGAGGAGGGTGGGAGGAGGAGGAGGAGGAGGAGGAGGCGGAGGAGGAGGCGGAGGAGGAGGAGGAGGAGGAGGAGGAGGAGGAGGAGGAGCCGCCGGCGTCTGCGGGCTGGCGCGTCAGAAGCCCAGGAACAGCCGCTGCTGCGCCTCGGAGAGACCGCCCGCGGCGCAGTTGTCGCCGCCCCCGCGCTCGGGGAGGCCGCCGCCGCACGCGGAGGCCCCGGAGTCGCCGCGCTTGCCCAGCAGGAAGGGCGAGCTGCACCTCGAAGACGAAGCCAGGGCGAGGAGAAGACCGGGGGAAGATGGATCGAGAATCTCTGAGATCTGGCGGGCGGCTCTGGAGGAGGTCTCGGGCGCCTCGGCCTTCTCGGAGCGCTCCAGAACGCTCCGAAAGCGCTCCAAAGCGCTGCAGAGCGGACTGGCCCTCGTCCTGGCCCCGTCCGACCTCTGCTGGAGGAGATCGTCCCACGCCACTGCGGAGAACCATGGGTGGCTCCGGACGCGCGCACTGCCGTTTGCGCCGCTGCCCAGGCGCAGGTTCTGGTCTTTGATCAGGAGCAGGTAGACGATGCTCTTAGCCACGCTCCCGAAGCACGAAGGGCACCGTGGGTCGCCATTGAGCACGCTCTTGCGGGTCTCTCTAGCGGTGCGTCCCTTGAAGGGAGTCTTGAACGCGAGCATCTCGAAGATGAGGATACCAAGGGCCCACCAGTCCACACATCTGCCATGGCCTATGTGGGACAAGACTTCGGGCGCCATGTACTCCGCAGTCCCGCACACTGTATACGTTGTTGTTCGGACTACTTTGGCCAGCCCGAAATCAATGATCTTCGCGTGGCCCAGCGAGTCGATAGCAACGTTTTCCGGCTTTAAATCACGAAATGCGATATCCAAACTGTGAATATGGCCGAGCGCAAGCGTGATCTCAGCAGCGAAGAAGTTCGCACACGCATCGTCAAACTTGCCGCTTCCTAGGGCTGAGTACAGGTCACCGCCGCCAGCAAGCTCCATGAGCAGAAAAAGGCGCGCGTCGTCCTGGAATGTGCCCGCCAATTTGACGACGAAGGGGTGGTTGACAAGCCCAAGGAGCTGCTTCTCTTGCATCACGCGTGCGACCTGGCGCGTCATGACAACGTGCCGTTTGTCGATTATCTTGAGCGCGTACCTGGCGGTGCTTCTGCCATGAGCAAGCTTGACCATGCGAACTGAACCCATGGAGCCGTCACCAAGAGCCTTGACGATCTCGAAGTCCACTGGCCGCCCTTGAGGGGAGGCCTCAGGATGCGCAACGAAGAAATTCGCAACATCGCATTTCCCTGAGAAGCTCATCAATAGTGGGGGAGTGCGACTTCCTAGTCACGAGCTCACAGGGCATAGACATCGAATCTCTGAGAACGCGCGTGATCCTGTCGCGACCCGATATGGGCGTATCACCACCGCCAAACCCAGCGTCGTAAGTCCGTGGACGCCCTGGGCCACGAAACAGTTCCACGACGTACCATAACTTCACGCCCTCAAGGCTGCGACCACTCGTACAAAACATGCATCGCCGCTCTCAAGGCCACGACGCCCTGTTGAAAACGACAGCTCCAGAGCTCCCGAGGCCACGATCTCTTGAAAAAAATGCTGGCAGCGCGCTCCCGAAGCCGAGATCCGTCATATATATATATATATATATGTAAACAAAAAACGAAAACAAAAAAAAGGCTGTGGATCCGCGCTCTCGAGGCCACCATCCCTGTGACGAACTGTGGATGCGCGCTCCCACAGGCCACGACCCCTCGCAGAAAGATGGCGGACCCGCGGTCCCCGAGGGATGTGCGCGCTCCCGCGGCCGAGACCCATCGCTGAAAGCACGGGGCCCGCGCTCCCGAGGCCACGAGCCCTCGCAGGCGGAGCAGCACAGCCGCGCTCCGGAGGAACCCCTCGTACGTGTGGGGGGCCCACGCTCCCGAGGCCACGTCCTTCGTGAGAAGCTGGGGGCCCGCGCTCCCGAACCTGCAGCTCCTCGCGGCACAAGCTGATAGATCCGCACTCCCGAGAGCCACGAGCTGCCCCGGCAAAATACGCGGGTCCGCGCTCCTGAGGCCACGGCCTGTGGTAACAGCTTTGGCCCGCGCTCCCTACACCACGTCCCCTCGCATAAAAAAAAAAATATGAAGCAAAAACACTGTGGACCCGCGCTCCCAGGACAGGAAGAAGCCGCGCCTAGACGACGCATCGGCAGAGCATGACAAACTACAAAAGGTCAGGAAAATTGCATGCGATGAGAACTCCGAGCTGAATGCAAAGGCGCCAGAACGCAGCAACTGCGGATCCGCGCTCCTGGCCCCTCGAAAAAACATGGGTACGCGCTCCCGAGGCCACGACTCCTCCTGCAAACTGGCAGAGCTGCGCTCCCGAGGCTGCGATCGTGTAAAGAAAGTGGGTCCGCGCCCTGAGGCTACAATACCTTGGAAAAGAAAAACACTGGGTACGCGCTCCCGAGGCCACGATCCCTCTTTGTTTACTATCCGCACTCCCGAGGCCATGAACCCTTGCAAGAAACAGCAGATCCGCGCTCCCGAGGCCACGATAGTTACAAGACATGGGCCTGCTCTTCGAACTGGCCAACCACCCAGCTAGCCTTCCCACCAGCAAGCAAGCCTGCGAACCAGCCAATCGGTCAATCAACTAGCTAACCCGTCAACCGTCCATCCAGGCAGCCAGCCAACTTGACGAGTTGCCAGCCTGCCGACCAGTCAGCCAAGCGGCTAACCAACCCAATCGACCCAGTCACACAAGCTATCAGAGGGTGGCTGGCGGCAGAGGACGCAGCCCTTCCGATCTTTCATCGTCCAATGCGTGCTTCCCGCCACAGGCGAATGCTGGCGCGTGAAACTGTGGGGCACACCAGGTATGTTCTCGCCGATCAAAGACCCGATGCTGGCTCCGCATGTCAAGCTGTCGAACTCGCTGGGCGTTCGGCTGCCATCGCACACCGTGTCGACACCACGCTGAGGCTCCGATAGCACGCAGGCGAACTCGCCGAGACTGGACGTTGGACTGCTCGTCTCGCTGAGACTGGCGGTGGTGGAAGCCTCGTCACGGTGATCGTATCTGCACGCCACGCGGGTCTCCGACTTGAACTTCGACCTGAGCCGGCCCCAGCAGGCTGACCCGAGAGCGGAGGGTGCCCATCTCGACTTGAGACCCATCGCTGGCCAGAGATGGTGCCGCCAAACCAGGCAGGATCCTCTGGGGGTTCAGCCAGCCACGTTGGCGACGAGGGGAAAGGAGGAGCAGCAGCAGCAGCAGCAGGAGAAGGATGGGCGAGAGGGGCGGGATAACTGGGAGCAGGAAGACCAAAAGGGGCAAGCATATGAGGCCAAAGCGAGGGGAAGAAGGACCAGGACACATATGTCAGAAAGAGAGAAAGAGAGAGAGAGAGAGATGTCTTTCGGTGGTTCGGTGGTGGATCAGGGGAAGGCGGGTGAAGAGGGTATTGCAGCATACCTGCACTAAGCAAAGTGGCGCACATCAACGGGAAAGTTGCATCTACCGCATCCTCCCCTCCTTCTACCAAACATCGCACTTATCAACAATCCCTGTCCGCCGTAATACCGGACATGGCGGTAAGGCAGGCCCAGCGTTTCGCGCGGGACCTCATCCAGACCCATCATACGAATGCAAATCGTCCCCCTGGAAAGGCTACATGCTCCTGAGGAAGGCACGTGGGTCCGACCGAAATCTCGGAGCAGCAATTACAGATATTGGGTTTACTTTGGTCCTGCTCCACGTGATCCTTCGCCGAACCCTTTTCCCCTACAAGCTCTCCTCCTGCTCCTCCTCCTCCGCCGCCAGCATCATCATCACAATCACAAGCATCATCATCATTATCACCATCATCATAGACAGCACCAGCATCATCATCATCATCATCATCATCATCATCATCATCATCATCAGCATCATCATCAACATCATGATCATGATCATCGTCATCATCATCGTCGTCATCATCATCATCATCATCACCACCACCACCACCACCACCACCACCACCACCACCATCATCATCATCATCATCATCATCATCATCATCATCATCATCATCATCATCATCATCATCATCATCATCATCGGCAGCACCAGCATCATAATCACCCTGATAACTACCACCATCATTATCACCACCACCACCATTAGTAGCAACATCATTATTGCCCCTCCTCCTCCTGTCCTCGTCCAGCTGCTCCAAAACCACCAGAAAGCAGTTAGGTGTGCATTGCAGGTATTGTGCTTTGCAATGTTCTTGTTGCATTTGCGTGTGCATCTGGTCTGGCTTGTCTCGTTGGCTTGCTTCGGGCTTAGTCCTGAAGCTTTAGCTTCGGATTCGGGCGAAAGTTGCTCAGGGGAGGTCCAGGGAGGCAACACCAACCATCACAACCGAGAAACATTGTTGCTGCAATGCAGTTGTTTGCTGCTGTGCACTATGGTGTTGCATTGCATGTATTTCATCTGGTCTAGCTGGTTTGGCTGCTATGGCTTGACCTTGGTGCTGAAACTTTAGATTAGGATTCGGGCGAAAGTGGTTTAGGGGAGGTCCAGGGAGGCAGCGCCAACCACCACCACCGAAAAAAAGGTTGTTGCATTGCCGTGTTTCCTCGCATGTTGTTTTTGTGCATTGCAATTTCGCTTTGCATCTGGGCTGGTTGGTTGGTCTGGTCTGATCTGGCCAACGTGCTTCGTGAATCGCCCCCACTCACTCGCCAGGGGAAAACGATTCACGGCGAAGGCGGGATTAAACGGCAATGGCAATTTTTGGGCACCATCGCTCATGATGGGTCCATCAAATGTGCTTCTTTGTATTCAACAATCCTTTGAGCTGATATGTGGAAGTGAGAGAGCAAGGAGGAGAGAACGACGACGAGACGAACCAACCCCCATTGCCCTCGCGCACGCGGGACGCGCGCTCTTTCATATAGCAATTCGAGCCACCGTCGGCGGCGGGGCGACGGCTAGCACAGGGAGCGAGCAGGGAGGTAGCACTAACACCTCCCATTGCGGCGGGCCGCGTAGGCCGCGCAAAGCAATCCCAGCCCAGGGAGCACCGGGGCTTCCGGGCACCCGCCAGGGCGCATTTGCCCCCCCCCCCCCCCGGCGCCAACCCCCAAAAACCTTCCAATCACCAGGGGAAGGGCGCCGATGCTCCCGCAGGACCTCCCCAAAGTGAGGTCGGAACGGGCCGACGTACCCCGTATATAATTGCCCGGGCTCAAAAGAGAACGTTGAATTTCGCGTGCAGGTACTTTGCCTGCTCTTCTTCTTCTGCAGGTAGTGCCATGGAGGCTGAGCCTCCTCTAGCATTTTCTACTTCGCCTCGAAAATCGTGAGATGCGACTCCCGTTGCTGTCGCACGCGGTGTCGCAGTCCTCTGGCGACCACCATTCCCACGTCCTAGCGTATACCAACGTTCCACCGCTCAGTACCATGGCAATGATGATGCGATTCTAGCGGTCCTGATACTGACCACGCTGGTAGTTGTTCTGCGTCGAATAACTGGTCGACGTCCATCGATCCGTCCTCTGTCCATCCTGTACTTGGTACGCAATGGCGGCGTCGGTGCGGGGATGGTCGGGGCTTTGGCGAGCCTGGACCCGCCGTCGCGGCTCCTGCCCCCCTGCCTCAGCGGCGCCGAAGATGGGCCCTGCCAGCGCGGCACGCGCGCGCCATCGCGCAGGGGTCGCCCATCGGAAACGGCGGCCATCATGCCCCCCCGCGCGGGCGGCGCAGGACAAGGAGGAAAATGAGGAGCAGCAGTTGCAGGAGCAGCGACTGAGTCATCACTCCTGGCGTTCTCGAATTCTTCGCCCATCGGACCTGACAGGGCTGGCGCAGGAGCCCCCCCGACTGCGTCGGCAGCTGGCTCCGCCGCAGGCTCTTCCGAAGGGCTCGGAACGACAATAGATTGGGTGATTCTTCTATTGTCATATCAGTAGCCTCAGCATGCTGTACCGGGCGATTCGCGGATATCCCATCACCAGCTGAGCCGATATCAAGGAAACCACCATCACCAAATGAACGCAAGATGCCGACAACGATTGTCGAACTTTGCTGTCGCTACTTAGCAACCAGACGAGCCCACAGATCAAGGCATTTACCTTGCAATGGCCCTTTCCGGTTTATCTGGTTGACGCAATCTGCCATTGCATTCTGGATTGGCCGAGGACCGTGCGCATCTTGGTCCTGAGACCGAGACCCAATCCCGAGATCATTCTATCCGACAGGTCGGAACATCTGCTGATCAGAACATCGAGTTCAAACGAATGTATCCGCATCAGGTGCGGGCAATGGTCAACTCTGTCCTCAGTGTAGTTCCCCCTCCATTGCTCTTGATTGCTCAGGAATTACGGCATCTCTGGCGCAGCGCCACGAATGACGCATTCCATTGCGTTCTAGAATTATGTACATCACACGAAGAGGCCCGTGATCAATCAGTTCAGGCTTGGCATTCTTTCCCCCAAAATCGTAGCGGAGCTCAGCAATTCTAATTAGCCGCGGGACGCCCTTGGTCAACCTCGCCGTCTCGCGCGGGGCCGACGGCCGTGGGCGGGCGCGCGAAATTGGACGAAGTCGCAGGCAGTAGCGTTCCCGAAAGCTGGTCCAAAATAGCCACCTGCGGGTCGCCCGCCAGATCGACGCCGCCCTTGGAGAATGTCCAGGCGAAAAAGCGTTCCACAGGGCAGCGACTATGTGCTCGAGAAAAATGTAGCCCAACTCCGTGGACATCTTGGCTTTCGAAATATCGAATTCCAGCTATTATTCGAAAGTCCCGCCTGTCCTCGGCGTATTTCTCAAGAACAGTGAGCAAGGACTCTCGTCTATATGAAATTCCGGTTTGTCCGTGCACACATGTTCAACGATTTAGAAGGCGGAGCGGCTGGAGCTAGAATCCAGCAATTGCCCATGACTCTGTCTCGCGATGCCCTCGGAAACGGGCGCTGGCAAATCCCTTGGGGCCATCCCATTCACGATGGGATGTTCGATGCGAAAGCGAGAATCACCAGGAATATCGGATGACATATAATCCGTCTTAGCTGCGTGATCACTAACCAGCCGAGTTGCCGTTAGGAGATCCATTCCACCCGTGGCAAGGTCATCTTCCAATATCTGCCATCCACCAAGCGGCACGGTCACGCTGCCCCCCCTCACTTGGCCAGAAGAACGCACAGAGCGGGGGAAGCTTCATCGGTGCCTCCGAAGGGCCCGAATGCCTTCAGATGATAGGTCACCAATCCGCCACGTTGGCGTTGTCAGTCTCCCAGGAATTGCACGCTACGAACCTCTTGATTGCCTCGACAAATCGAACGTTGTGGCTCGCATCGGTAAGGCGAGATACAAATAGCATTTATAGCCCCCCATCAGAGGAGCATGCACGTTTCTTTGGTAAGGCAAAACATGACCTCCATGAACTTTGCCATTCTCAACTCTTCAATGAACCATTGCTTCTGGTGCTTGTCATACATATTCAGTCTGATGAGGACAGCGCGCGACTAAATATTGTGTCCCGGACGCCTGTCTTGCGAAGCCCGGGAACTCGGGCGCGCTCCGTCTGGGCCCGCAATCCATCTGTGAAGACGTCTCGCTTTAAGGCAACTGTCCATCTTTGAATCGATGACGTTTCGCGGCGTGCACGAATGTTTGAGCATTTGCCCACTATTACGTCGCAGCGTGGACACTGCCGCATATCAACGCGGAAGCCGCACAGCCGCGCGCAAGCACATCCCCCGCCATCCGTCCACGGTCGCTCATTCACGCGCCCGTCATATTTGTCGGCCAACGTTTCATCCGACTGCAGAAAGGCCACAACACCAAGTGGATCTAGTTGTACCTCCTTTTGCGCACATCCTAATAAAAGAAGCATCCTCATAATTGCCGGCGCGGGTGCAAATAAA